TTTCATCTGACAATTTGCATGTTGCAACTAAATAGTGTGGTCAGTATTTATTAATTTATTCTTTTAGCCCATTATGTTGAAAAAAAAAAAATGGGGCACAGGGACGCAAGAGACGTGCACAATTTGCAGCTTCGATAGTGGAGTCAAGCAAATTGATGAGAGCTTTCCTTGCTGGAAGTGATGACACCAGTAAGCCAGCATCTGTTCCTTTTGATGGCAGCAAAGAGGTCAAAGTGCAAGATTGTGAACATGCTATTTTATTTGAAAAAGAAAACAATGAAGAAACTGGTCTCTGACTTGTTGAAAGCTACAATAGTAATAAACAAGAGGATTCCACTTTGTCAGAAACAAAACCACAGAATAGTGTTGCTAAGCTAAAAGAGGATGCCCTAATAAATATTTTAACACACAGGGATATTGGATTTATGAAGTTTGATGCAACAGGATCAGCAGTTGTAACACACGCACATCGATTGTTCAAGTTGGAGCACATGAAGTTCAACATAAAGAAGGTCCATTTGATGCCAAAGATGGGCGTTCTATGACTGCATTTTGGTTCAAACAGCGCCTTCTGACTGGATAAGAGGTCAATCATTACTGGTTGGTGTATTCACCTCTACATAAAGCAGCTACTGCTTTTGTTGTCTTCTTTTTTCATCTACATGTATGACATCCGATAGTCGGTCTGCTTTCAAAACACAGTGTGGATTCTTTAAGAGGTAAAAAATTTAAAAGTTAAATGCCCATGAAAATAGTGACAGTCATCGTGAGTCATTTGCTGCTTGGAAAGAAACTGGGCACCGAATTCGTCTTCAAAGCGGCATTGATGAAGAGCTGCAAAGGCAAATTCAGTAAGAAAAAAATAAATGGAGAGATGTACTGCGATGGTTGCTGGATTATACACAATATTTAGCTTCTCAGAATCTTGCATTTCGTGGCCATACTGAGGACATAACCGGAAACAAAAACCCTGGAAATATCCTGTCACTTTTGCAGTTATTAGTAAAGTATGATCCAGTAATGAGAGAGCATTTAGAGCATGTTAAAAACAAACAAACGTCAACGTCTTATCTTTCTCCTGAAATCCAAAATGAGTTCATAAATCTCATGGCTTCACATGTGTGAAATTATTATTTGTCAGCAATTTATAGAAACAAATACTATGGTATTCTGTTTGATTCCACACCTGATTTAGCCCATCGTGAGCAATTGGCCCAAGTGATTCGGTTTGTTGATACTGACTTTAAGACCAGAAAAGTAGAAGTCAAAGAGTTATTTATTGACTTTATACAGATAAAGGTAAGAGATGCTGCCAATATTGAGAAAACAATAAGCACAAAATTTAAAGTGGAGGGAATTTTATTGAGTAATTGTTGTTCACAATATTATGATAATGCTGCTGTCATGTCAGGTCATCTGTCAGGCATTCAACAAAGAATTCTGAACAAAAATCCAAAAGCAGTGTTTATAAACTGTGAAAACCAAAGTTTGAACTTAGCATGTCTTCATGCTGCAAGTCAGGAAACAACAGTTATTACCTATTTGGTATAATTGAAGCCATTTATAATTTCTTTGCTCATTCAACAACTTGATGGGACGAACTGCAGCAGGAGCTTATGATCTCTGTCAAGCGACAATCAGAAATATGGTGGAGTGCAAGAGAAAAGGCAGTAAAAGTTGTACATGAAAAACTGGATGAATTGCTAGGACTGTTAGATCAATTAAGTGAGAATGGCAACATGGCTAAAACAAAATGTGGTACTCATAATGTTCTGCAACGCATGCTTACATTTGATTTTCTTGTACTTTTGCATTTTTGGAGAAATCTTTTATCATCTATCAGTCGAGTGCAGAAACGTCTTCAGGACCCAAAAATGAATTTTAGAGAAGCAGCTGCTGATCTTGATTCTTTGAAAGAGAAATTGATAGAATCACATGAAGAGTCCTGTCAAGAAGCACTTGAAGT